TCTGATGGAGCGAGGCTTGCGAGTCTGTCGAAACGGTCTGTTGGCAGCAGGCCAGCATCAACATGCTCGCTTCTCGCAGAATACGCAAAATCGTGCCAAATCAGGGCTTTCCATGAAATGACCTGCAGGTCTCTGCTGTACCATTTTGTTCGTTTTGCTGGTGCAACAAACAGGCCAACCACTTTGGGACCGTCCACGGAGGCTATCTTGTAGGGCCTCCACTACTTGCAATGTCCTCTTTCCACATTTTGGCACGAAAAGAGACAGCGATGTCTTCACTTTTTCCCACTTTGTGCAGCTGTGCCACGGAAAACACGACTGTCACCGCACTTGTCGCCATGTCACTAAGCAGAATAATTCAAAGAGCGACGCATCTTGTATTTTGGTACGAGAAAAGGCTGATAATGCCCGTCTCTGGCCGGTGCATGGCAACGTCTCGTCGGTTAGCGGCAAGATTTTGTCACGAAAACACTCCAACGGCCAGAAGAGCCAGAATTCGGCCGACAGCAGCAAAGTCAGCAAAGTCGTTTGAATCGGCCTAAAAAAAAGTCGGCTTGCAATTAGCTCTGCGAGAAGCTGAGCAAAAAAACAATTCACCGAAATCTGTCTGTTGGTGAAATTAATTTTAATTTTAAAGACAAATCCCACGCTGACTAGTGCCTAGTGTGGATGGGAATCTAAATTTCGTGACCAACTCCATCTGTCACATCACATGGTACCAAAATAGACGGCCAAGTAGAATGTATCGGCTGTCTTGATGACATGGACCGTGGCCAACTTGTTAGAACGAGCAGAAGCCTGTCTTTACTTCACGCGGCAATCCAAAAACAAGAAAGGGGACGAGGAAAAAACAAATGAGAGTACAAAGAAGCTGCACGCCAATCTCGGCCGAAGCAACTGACTTATTTGAAGGAAAGAGAGCAAGTGGATGGAGGAAGGAGAGGATACTTTCTCGGCAGCACAGAACATGAGAGCCGGCGCCAATAGCCCTCACTCCTGACGCACAGAAGCTGCAGACATTTGATCATTCCAGTGCTTCTGGAAGGAATAGATGTGCTCTGTAGATGGAAAGGAAGACGCGCTCTCGAAACATCTTTTAATGAGTCCATTTGAGGGTATTCGCGAATTGATCTCATCGACATAAAAATGCCCACAGCATGTAGAAAAAGTGGGTTTCGAACAATCCCTCGGCAGATTGATGCTGGAGTTTGTCTCATTTCGTTTGAAGAGACGAATGGATGGGATTCGATAGTTGGTTCTATCGGAGGTTGTTGTTGTAGATTTTTGCGAATGGGTTCTCGGCGCACTGTCCTGCGACTCGGATCAATCCTTGCTGAGTTTTTGTCCATCGTCAGAGCAGGACACAACGCTCAACGATAATTCATCGAAGAGACGAATGCAAGAAAGGCGGCCGGCTTCAAACCGATTTCCTTCATAGAAACCTTCCGACGAAAGGAAAGCTACTCCAACATCGAATGACTACCGCATTTGATTAGTTTCGAGTACAGATTTGAGCAAAATAAGTTCTCCGTGGTTCATTCTGTCGCCTTGAGCTTTCTCTGCTGTGAGTGTGCCTGCCTCGACATGACAGACATGCTTGCAAACATGTGTCTTCTTTGTCGAAAAAAGACATACCAAACTAATATAAACGAAGAAAAGTTGGGTTTCGAGGAATCTCTTGTTTCATAATTGCTCAGCCTACTTCCATTTCGAGGGAAAGTGTTGCGTGAAGAGATTCGAAGATCAGTTCAACCAGAAGACAACGGCCGATTTCTCTTGACCAGCTGTCGATTGGCTTTTCTGGAAAATTCCTGCTGACAATGTTTCCGAGGCAATCTCCTTCAATTCTGGTCAAAACGGGC